CAGACTTCCCAGGAGGGTGAGGCCGGTCTTGTACCAGAAGTGCTACTTTTCTCTCTCTCCCCGGAGGGTCATTTGTTGGAAGCGAATGAGTGCGAAATCCCATTGCATCTGTTTTTCCATGTTCCGTAATATCGCACTGCTTTTGCCGACGAATATTGACGAGTCAGTTTATAAGAATGAACGTGGGATAATTTTCGATATTTAATTACCTTTTGAATTGTAACGGCACCTTGTTTCACCACTGGCGACATCCTACGCAGTTTATTGACTATGACCTACGTATGCGGTGTTACTGTTTTGATTTTGTTATGTCCTTTTAAGATAAGTTTCAACAAAGCTTTTTTAATACTACCAAACTTTGCACTACTATACCGTATCCACTGGCTAGTTTACAGTCTCACATTTATTACTGTATTTTTGTTTATGCGTCTTATCCCTGAAAGGCTATGTGATCTTGTCCATCTGTGCGCCGAGTGATGTAGACAGTCGACGCATCCCAGACGGTGTGATCAGCGTAACCTAAATGTGCATACGAACCTTTGAGCTCTCAGATTCCTTTGTAAAGAAATCTTGTTCCTCCATAGATCTCTCAAGATGGTCCTTAACGCATTTGAATTGTATCCAGTGGACACTAATGCTCCTAATATATATGGTCAGTTCGCCGAATGACCAATCTCAAATTAGCATATACCCTAACAGATGAGTATCCAGATTCGGATCAGTTTGACTGACTTGGGTGATCACTCATTGAACGGTGCAATTTCGCGGCGTTCGCACACGTAGGGTGTAATTTGTAAGATTTAAAGTCAACCTTGAGAGATCTGTGGAGTACCATGATTTACTTTCGGACGAACTTTGAAAGCGCTATGAATTCCTTTTACTGGGAAAATGTATGGTGAACCACAAGCCTAAGATTGATCGTATCTCAAACAAGCTGCTAACAGAACTCATCTCATTAATTACCTGCTCTCACCGTGCCAATTCCTATGACGGAACAAACCTAAACTTTACACTTAATGGCAGGCAATGCGTACCGACAAATAGTTTGTGGTTCTCTGATGTGTGTTCTTTTAGTCCCATGGTTTTGATTATTCAAACCCTCCCGGTGAGGTGATAAACATTGGCTGTTGCGTCAGCAGAGCAAATGAAGCTAGTTGCGGTCTTGGGAGGGAAAATCACTGAACTCGAGTTACAGACTAGGTATAGACAACAACTAACAAAATTGCTGCACAGTCCGGCGAAAATGAAATTCTTTAGTTACAGGCAGTACTGACCCCAGACTGGTTGAACGCTCTCCCAAATCTCAATCGGCCGGTGGCCGAGTGATATGCGCGCCTGGATTGCAACCATAAGGTCACCGGTTCGAATCCGCGTAGGGGCGGGCGTTCTCGCGGTATACCCAGCCCAGGCGCGACTGGTGGTGGTCGCGTGGCAGCGAAGCGCCGCTACGGCGTACAGCTGGCGATTAATTTTATTTATTATTATTACTCCCAAATCTCATAAAATGCCACAAGTCATGAAGAGTTATGCATAACTTTCACGATCTACTCAGCTATTACCAGAGCCACAACACTTAACCCCCACAAATAATGTGACTAACGACGTTGCACATAGGCGGTCTTTACAGTCTTGGTCTGTCTTGTACAGACACCCACACGACCATTCACCGCTCTCGAAGAACAACAGAACAAGCAGTTACCAGGCATCCAAAAGGGGATGACAGTTATGAGTTTAAGCGTTGCAGAACCTAATAACCAATCGTTGAAAGGTAGACGAGTCAAAGAGCAAATCCGTTTGACGTTGATAAGCTGTGCACTCGGACTGAACGTTCTCCCAACTAGTATTACACGCTTTTCACAAAATTCATCATGTCCGCACGTTGGGATACCTAGGTTATTGTGAGTAGCATTTGGCAACACACATATCTGGGAGATGTTCTCTTAACAATCCACATTCTAGTGAGTTCTTCTATCATTACCCGCATTTTCCTAACAAACTATTGGAATAGTGGTTGAAAACAAGCTGAAGGATTAGATTTGGTTGTCCAACTTACCGTAGTGCGCATGGTTCTCATAGTCATACGGTGAATATTTTAGCGGCGGTGATTTATCAGTAACTATCCGTTGTTTTGATGTTAGACTTGGCTATTTGTTAAGATGCGACCGTAGATTTTACTGTTTTTATGAGAGTTCATCGGAACTAGGCTATACTTCCAGAAAAACGATCGTCCGAGAAGCTTACATACCATCTCAATAGTGAGGTAGTGTGTACCGACCCAGTAGGATCCTGTTAATGTACGCAACTGACGCGTCCTAATTGGACGAAACAATAGTTCAGTGCTTTTCTGGATATATAGTGACAATCTAACCGAGTATGGCAGCTGAAGACCTTCTCATAAACTTTCTTTTTCTTTGTTTGTATATTCCTCTCTGCTTGCATTTCAAAAGTGTGTTGGTCTGCTTGGGCTGGTTGGTGATAGGCTTGTGCGTTGGCGCTCGTGAACCATTGGAGAAACGCCGCGATTATAAGGAGTAAGACGCTAATTGAAGGTGGGTATGATGTAATACCTAAAGGTATTACGTAATCGTGCAAGATCTCAGTGCACTCGCTTTACTGACACCGCGTTCTCACGAAGATCTTGTTCTCCCATGAATGTAAACTGGCATCAGCACTACACCATACGTGCTTTTTTCACCGCCTCGCGTCATATTCAGAGACGCTCCATCGGCTAAGACGTTAACGCACGTACGCCTCTTCTCTATGCATGTAAACTTTCGATATTAGCATTTGTTGGGTTGTTCATATTCTAGCAAAGAAGACGCGACGGGAAAACAGTAACCTAGCCTTGTGATTATCAGCTCCATGTTCTGCTAACAATCAACGGTTTCTTACCTTGAGCTTTGTATTATTCTCAGCAGTCGGGAAGCCTCCAGTGTTCACAGCTATCTTATTTGTTGATCCAAAGACCTTAACGGATCATCCCTATCTTTCACTCGCTTGCTCCCCTGATCATCGCGGATTCGTCTGTACCACACCGCACGGGCAATTTTTCCGAGGCATTGGTGATCAACTCTTCAGGCCGTAGAAGTCTCGATGTGGAAAAGGGGAACGGTCTTCACCATGACCCTGTCCACATGTTCTTTGAGACCACCAAAAACCTTTTCTAACGTTATCGACTCTTCCCATCACGTAATCTTTTGTGGACATTGAGAGCACAATATGAGTTCGCTTTCGACCCAAAAGCCACTAAAGCTGATCGACTTTTGTTCTAGTGTTATACGGAACATCTAACGGACGGCCACTTTTCCGACTGACAGCAAATGTTTTGTTGGATAACGCTTCCATGAGCCATTGCCCATAAATTGTATTGACTATTCTTGCTGTGAAAATCTGCGAACAGCTGCATTCCTTTTTCCTATGAATCCACAAGCGATTAATTATACTTTATTTTACTTTCCTGACATTCAGCGGAACGTTAGTCAAACTCCTCATATGGTCAGAATAATTCATTAAGGATTCCTTAAACGTGACGTTAAATGTCGAAAATCTATGCTGAATTCCATCTGATCCGATCGCGAGTGCAAGCGACTATTCATCTGTCAGGAGATTTATGTCATCCATACTTTTATGTGACAACTAAGCTATTGGTTGTTATCACGTGACCTCTCCACTTTGTACGTTTCACAGAGCTCCTCCGCGATCGCGAATCTCGTCTTGGAAGTGGTCCGAATGGTGCAGTTCGTGTTTGTAGTCATCCATGGTTCTCTCCTGACTGGGCTCTAACTCAAAAATCCTTAGGTCTTTTGGACTCAACAGATCTGTCTTTGGTCGATTGGTCTTGGACAAATATTAGGGCCTGCCGTGCCCCCTTCCAACCACGACTGACTAGTGAAACAGACACATCTTACTTTCAGCTGGAGTCGGATGAAGGTGATCAGCATTATCGACCAACAAATTCTCCCTCTTCAAATAAATTGGAAGATCAATTACCTGTTTCAGACAATACAGATATGCGCGATCATTCTGCCCCTCTCAGAGATGCTGAACACTTCCTCACGAAGTTTCCTGGCGTTCAGTCGGCTTTTGCAGGTGAAGGCAATTTAGATTCTTGTTGGCTTATCGTCACTTTACCAAATTCATTGTATTTTCTCGCCATGCGCCTAAGTGCCTTTTGAAATCCCATGCTCTCGATCGGTTGTAAGCATGTTTCACAGCGTGTTTAACTTGATTTGAGTTTACTTTCTTCAAACACGTGTATTGGATTGCCATTGCAATGTCGAAGGGGCTCTCTAGACTTCAAGTTTCAATCGATTCTTTCATACATTTTCCATCCCACCATCTACCCGCCCCTTGATTTTACCTAAATAGATACAGTAATGCTAACATTCGCCGCTGCGGAAGATCGACGGGTTTACGAGTGTTATGCTCCAGACGAGCTATGCAGCTCCACTAAGGTACCGATTGCCGATGAACTTCAACAGCTCTCATTGGCTACCCTACTTGATATAAGCAAAATTTCCCACATGCCGTTAAAGAAACTTTGCTACTTCCAGTGTTTTCGATATCATTTGCCCATATTTCTAATCTGTACAGCGACCAAATATATCTCAGAGTTATGCACACTCCCATTGGTCGACAGT